TTTTTTTTTTTTTTTTTTTTTTTTTTTTTTTTTTTTTTTTTTTTTTTTTAATTATTTTTAAACAATTTTCTTTTTGTTTCCAATAAATACATAAATCTTTAAATTGTTTAATTAGTCTCTTATTGGATATAAAATTGTAATAAATATGAATTTAAAAAGTATATAAATATATTAAATAACTCGCTCATAATTGTATTAAAAATATTTTCAATTTACTATTGTCCGTATATCTCAACTGTAATTGATATATATTTCGAGGGGAATAAAGCATTCTTTACAAGGGTAAAAAAAATCTCTCTCTAATATACATGTTTTAAAATTGTGAAGTTGATAATGATATATATTTCGAGTCATATCAGACAATATCTACTAGTAGTGACCTTGAGCTATTACAAATAGTACCCGAACCAAACACCTGTCAGTGTGTCAGTGAAGATGTTGGCCCTCCAAAGGGAGTGGAACGGGGAACGAAACATTTTTTATAAAGGTGTAGAAAACTCTTCTTAGCAAATACATTTCAAAACCGTGAAGTTGACGCTAATATGACAGGCCATAGCAGACAGTATCTAGTAACAATGGTCTCGAGCTATTACAAATTTTTTTTTGAGGATCGAGCGAGCGTTTCAATTTTCATACCCCACAATTGTTGTACTAAAAAAATTTGATGATTTTTTTTAATAAACTATTATTATTTATTTATTTATTTCCCGTCTTTCATACTCCTCCTACTATTATAATAGATACATCTCGAATCAACGCTGCAAACTTTAATTTAGTTTTGTCTCTTCTAATTTTTAATAAAACGATAAAAACAAATCTTATTATGCTTTCGATGAATACCCGACATCAACCAACTTTATAATTACACGCATAGAATTGCACGATCGAAAAAATTCACTAACCTATCATAAAATTTATTTATTTATTTATGAAATTGACATATTATGAAACCAAAAGATTTATTTAATATATAAAAATAATAAAATGGAGTAAATGAATTATTGAGATTTATCATAATTAATTAAAAATAGACCCATTCCTATAAAATTATGATAGAAAATAAAAGTACCTAAAAAAAGGGAACAATAATTAATTATGTTATTATATTTCCGTTTTTTTTTTTACAATAATTTCCCTAACTACAAAACAATGATTGATTTTAATTTTAATTTTAATTATTTTAAATGAGAAATAAAAAATACTCCAAAAAATAATAAAGCTGACCAATTTTGGATGTTAATGTAACCATTTATTTTTGCATAATAATGAATGTATATTAATAAATAAATTAATTTATGGTATGCTAATTTAAATGCTTTTTTATTTGCAAATAGTTAAAATTATTATATTTTTTCTATTTATTTGTAATTTATAATTTAAAAGAAAACTTATATGGTTAGGATCATGTAAATAATATGATAATAATGTCAACAAAAATTAATAATAAAGTGATAGTTCATAAATTGGATAGCTTTAGAAATATTATGTAGTAGGCAATAGGTATCATCTAAATCCTTTATCTCTTTACTTACCATATAATAATATTATACATATATATCTATATATATAAGGTTATGAAATTCAATAAATTTGAAATTTTAAAAATAATAATTAATGTATTAATATAAATTTATTAAAATTGTAATTTAAAAAATTGACGTAATAAATAAATATAATTTTTTTAAGACTAAATTTGTTAAAGAGGAGAAAGCGCCATATTTATTCGGGGCGCCACCTGAGCTTACGACCGCCTCATTTTATGTTTCCTTAAATGCCCCCACCGCAATCCTCGTTCGACGTTCACATCTGAGGTTAATTTGGTCACATCACTTACCCACCTCGCAATAAAAGCCACCACTTTTCCCGCCGGTGGTGGCCATGGATTTTCGTATTTTCCATTTTGAATTTGAATTCATAATTAAATAGTTTTTTATTTGAGGAGGTCTCATTGGTCAGCGGAAATTCAATTTTAATGGATAAATTAAACCATTAAAATGATATATTATTATTAATTACACATTTAATTTCTATATTTTCATAATGTCAAATTTAAACACCAAAATTAAAAGCTTATAAATATTGAATATGATAGACTGTTACGTATTAAAATGTGACTATTAAAAAAAGGTTTATTTTCATTTCTCTCTCCAACTAATGTGAGATCTCATAATCCAGTTGCTTTAGGAGCCCAACGTCCTCACTAGCACGCTACCAGGTGTGTAGCTATGATACCATTTGTAACAATTTAAGTTTACAGGTAACAAATTTTGTCTACATTGAGTCGTTACGTATGACCGTGAACTTCACGATTTTAAAACACGTATGTTAAGATGAGGTTTCTACACCCTTATAAAAACATGATTTGTTTCCCCGCAATGGATATGAGATCTCACAATAAACTAAATATATGATTTACCAATAACTTTTATTTTAACGAGCAACGTCCCTTAGCCAGACTATTAATTAAAAAAATATTTTTAATTATATATCCATATATTTTTATAATATTTATTTGATTCCAAAATAATTTTTAATTTTTAAATGCAAATATTGCTGTTAAAGGAGTTGTTGAGTTTTGTTTTAATTTAATTAAATTATTTATTATTATTATTATTATTATTATTATGATTGGTTGAGTGGTAATAGAAACGGCGGTTGATTAAAAGAGACGAAATTAATTAGATTGGAATGTAATTAAACCCTAATTACCTACTTTGAAACAACCTCCTCCATGCTTTTAAAGCAAGTTCCGCTTCCTAACTCCCACGTAACTTCTCTAATTACCTATTTATCCTTGCACGCTTTTTTCATTTCTTCTGTTATAATCTTGCCCTTTTTGTAATTTTCTTTCCAAACCACTTAACCTAAATATTTAATCATAAAAATTAACTTAAACGTATCATTGACTAATAGGTCACAGGTTCGAGTCCTCTCACTTCCACTATTGTTTTATTATTTTAAAAAATAAAATTTAAAAGAGATAGATATCTAACCTCGTCATTCCCGTACCTGGATTATAGTTATCTAATCTCATCTTATTTAGCCATTTTTTGAGAACGAGGTTGAGGCTAAATCATAAGCCATTCAAACTAGTTAAAACTAAAACCGCTCCTTTAGGAGCTCTTACAATTAGATCTCGAATTTTTAGAACGAAAAATGAACGTTTATTTTAACTAAATAAAATGTATTCAACTCATAATTTATTAAATATATTTCACATTAAGGAAAAAATTAGGGTTTTGGTATATGGGGAAATAAATAGAACGGGAGAACAATGTTATCCCTATCCAGAATGAGGATAAGGATAGTGTAAGGCCAAGTCCAAACAATCCCCGGAAAGTCACGTGACAGGGGGGAGAGAAACACGTGAGGGCATTGGCTGCTAGGTGGCACCACGCGACACAGGCGCGTGCATTCCGACCACTGCATGTTCTCTATCCTCTTCTCCTTCTTACACTCTACTCTTCCTTCTCTCTGGACATTCCAACCAACTTCCCTTTTCTTTGCTGGTCCTCACTTTCTCTTCTTCCATCACCCAATCATTTCCCTACACGTGGTACTCAATGCCACGTTGGACCCCTGCCATTTAGGTCCCCCACTTCGTCTCAATTCTGCTTCATCCTATTTGGAAACGACGCTTCATCTATTAAGAAACTCGACACTAGAACCACTTGTTACTTCTAATCATGTATATGTTTATTTCGATAATGATTGATGAGATAAATAATAGAACGAAGGATTTAAATCTCTTTTTAATAGCCAACTTGAGAGTACCTCAATGACGTACATGTTGTTGAGCTAAAAAAACGTCTTTAGTTAAGTAGTGTAACACCCAAGAAAGAGAAAAAAAAAACATCTTTACCTAAAAGAGCCTGTGTTGATCTATGGGGGGATAGTTTTCACTTTTACAAGCAAGAAATGCGTAACCTAACCAATTTGTAGGGTATATGACTCCCGTAATATTTATAACAGCCCAAACTCATCGATAGTAGATATTATCCATTAGGGCTCGTTACGTATCGCCGTCAACTTCACAATTTTAAAACATGTCAGCTACGGAGAAGTTTCTACGTTATTCTCTCCGAAAGTGGGAGATGAAGACAAAAGGCCAAACAAATGAGGATATGAATGAAAAAAAAAGGTGGGGATTTCAAGGAGTGACTGACCCATGAGCTTACATTTTTGGACACACATCATTGTTCAAATCCCCTTTATTCCAAATGCTTCTTGTCTACATTTTCTCCCCAAATTTTCATCTCTTCCCTTTTCCTATCATATCATATAGCAAAATATGACGACAATGACAGTGACAACGACAACGACAACGACAACAAGAACGACGACGACAACGAGATCATGATGATGTAGTTTCGGAGTTTTGAAGAAGTTGAGTGTGAGAATCCCACGTTGGTTGGGGAGGAGAATGAAACATCTTTTATGAGGGTGTGAAAACTTTCCCTAGCAGAGCGTTTTAAAGCCTTGAGGGGAAGCCCGAAAGGGAAAGTCCAAAAATGACAATATCTGCTAGCGGTGAGTCTGGACCGTTACAAATAGTATCAGAGCCAGACACCGG